ATTCTGCAACATGAATCAGAAAGCGCGCGTTAGTAAAGAGCTTAATGAAAAACACAGAAAGGTTTGCTTTCTATCATTCGCGTTCCTTCTCCGTTCATTTTTTTTGTTTGCTTGCACTGTTTCATAAACCTTTTTTGGTAATTTTATATGGTTGTTTGGAGATATTATGATTGATTTGGTGTTTAATTATATGATTTCAGTTTTGACTTTTTATTCCAATTTCCAAACGATTTTTATTGTGCATCCATTGCTTTGAAATCAATCAATTTCGCTTGTAAATTCTCATATGAGATTGCCGTAGTTTCTGTATGATTTACTATATCAGCTGGTTCACAAGGTTACGACTAAATCAATAAAGAAACGTTTTAGGAAAAACATATTTAATTTCTATAATTGCCATTGCTTTTTTTCCATTTGTGGGGGTGTTTAAGATATTATTGTTTCTTAAAAAATGGATATTTCTATGTCTGATTGTCGAAATTATCTGTGATTTGGTGTTTAAGAATATGATTTCAGCTGTGATCTTCATTAATTTTACCACCATCACATTTGCTTCAGCTCTCTATACACTGCTCTTCAATTATCAATTAGGTATATAGATTCATATGTGCTTGGTTTATCAAACCTTACTTTTAGAATTCAGAATTGAGTTTTGATTTTTCAAATTGATGTTGATTCTCATAACATATCGTTAATTCATAATAAATAGTTTTAATTTTTGTGGATGTCCTTTTGTGCTCATTAAGCTATACTTGGGTGCAATAAAAGTTGTTTGAAAACGCACAAAACCAAAACTTGCATTTCCTTATCCTACAACTTTTGATGCATGATATGTAATAATATCGTATTGGAATAGTTGGTTGAAATTTGGCAAGAAAGAACATTCTTTATGAGAAAAGTTGTCTTAATTCACTTGTCAACATAGTCAAAAGCTCCATCTTTTAATACAACTAGTAATGCATAGAGTACAAGTCATGAAGCATAAATGAAAGGTTTCAATAATTGGGTTGTTGATAGGGTAGTTGAAATTTAAAGAGTAAATAATATAATGAGCAGTTGTCCAAATTCTTCTATCTACAGAAAGTCAAAATATCCAATTTTTATTAGAAGTACAACCACTTATGCATGGTGCACAAGCTGTAAAGTACAAATGAGAGGTTACAATAATTGTGTCTCTAGTAGGTAAAGCATCTTCTCATAGCAATAATAGACAACTCCAAAGTGATTATGCTATAGTGCTTCAGCTGTAAAAATTGTATATCAAGAGCAGTTGTCCTAATTCGCCAACAAAAACAATGAAAAAGAAAAGCTCAGAATATGTGTCACACCTAAAATTGACTTTTGGCATACATATTTTACCATTTAGTAGCAAAAGTTGGAATCTTTTTCGGAAATCTGAAAAAAAGAACTTAAAAGAAATCTAAGAATTATCGATGGACTTTGTTTTCTTGCAAATCGGCAGTATTAAGAATTCACAAAAGGGTCACATGATGTTGTAATATATATTAAACAAAGAGATAAAATCATTAATCAAATCAAACAGTTATATGAGCTTCTTTTTTGTGTTTGTATTCAGTTGTGAGTTGGTAACATAGCTGTCAAAGAATGTCAGTTGATGCCAAGATGGTATTGGCACCAGGGCCCACTTTAATGAGTTGTAACTCTTATAGGACACAACATCTCATAATTCATAATAGTAGTACTTTTAAGGAATATCAATTTGTTTGTTTGATTGTTGAAAATTATTGATTCTTTTTCAATTGTTGAAAATATTACTACCCTTGTTCCAAGATATTTTTGGAACCTTTTAGGGAGAGGGGAGGGGATAGGGTTTTATCAGGGCCATTGCATATTTCATTCTTTTTCTCTTGGAAATTGCAACATTTGATCATCACATAGTGAGAATTGAGAAATACCCTTAAGTAAAAAACAAAATAAGAGAATCTTCTGGACGTAAATTAAGATTACCTTTAGTAATAACTAGGGTGATACTACCCCCCGCTTTGCAGGGGGGGACCAAACTTGCATAAAAACAAAAGTCTAGGGACCAAACCTGCCATTATACAAAAATATAGGGACCAAACTTGTCAATATATGAAAGTCTTATGGCCAAGTTCTGAAACCCAAAAAGTCTAGGGACCAAACCTGCCAATATAGAAAAGTGTTGTGGCCAAAGTATGAAATACAAAACTTATTGTGGCCAAAGTATGAAACTTGAAAGTATGTTTTAGCAGTGAAAATTGGTTTGTATTTGAATTGTTACATATGTCGAAGTATAATCCTCTGTAACACAGGAAGAAATGAAAGTAGGATATTATAATTAACAAATCAATGAAAGTACATTGCTATTTCTTGCATTTAACCCTATTCTTTTAACTAAATTTTTTGGTTAAGATACTTTGTTATTGGTCCCATCATGCAGATACTCGAGGGGTTACTTAAATTACCAGAGAACCGGGAATGTGCTGAATGCAAAAGCAAGTAGGTGGCATGGTATTTTAGCACAGTAAAAAGATAAATTTTTTTTTTGTTATTTCAAGAAGTTTGTTAAAAATTGTGCTGTCTATTCAAAATGTTACATTATGGTTTCAGGGGTCCAAGATGGGCAAGTGTAAATCTTGGGATTTTTTATATGTATGCAATGCTCTGGAGTTCATAGAAGTCTTGGAGTACACATATCAAAGGTCTTATTCCATCACCAACAACTTTTGTTCATAAAAATTACTGGAGTTTTTTTTTTTTTTTTTTTTTTTTTTTTTTTTTTTTTAAATAGATTTTTTTATGTTGTTTTTAGGTGAGATCTGCTACCCTTGATACATGGCTACCAGATCAGATTGCATTTATACAAAGTAAGTTGTTGTATCTTGTTCATCCAGCCCTCTTGAAACTTTTTTTTTTTTTTTTTTTTTTTTTGAATTTCTACAATCCCAGTAATTCTTTTTTGGTACAGTGATAACAAACATTGTTCATTGTGAAGACTATAATCTTGAATATCATGTTTAGCCATGGTTTTAGACTTTTACTTCAGTACTTGTAGTATTTTTTTTTTTCTAAACATTAAAAGTAGAGACTATATCTTACTTAAATTGTAAAGGGTCCATGAATTTATATAAAAAAACGATTTTTGGTTTTTGCAGGTATGGGAAATAAGAAATCAAATAGCTTTTGGGAAGCCGAGTTGCCTCCTAAATACGATAGAGTTGGGATTGAAAATTTCATTCGTGCAAAGTATGTTTTCTCTTTCTTGCTAGTTGCTACAATAAAATAAAAATAAAAAATAAAAATAAAGTAGGATGCTATAATATAAATAATAATAAATGATTTTGATCAGGTATGTAGACAAGAGATGGATTCCTCGAGAGCAGAAAGTTGAAACTCATTTGAGTATAATACGAAAAGAGAATGTTCCACTTTATAAACCCGGGACCACAACTAAGGCCATCGTTCTTTTCCCTGAGCCAAAACAGACCCCTCAACTTTACAATTTGAACAAAACGACACCTCCTCTTCCTTCTTCTAGAGTTGTTGACCAACAGGTACTGCTCTGGTTGACTTTACATTATTCCTTCACTTTAATCAAAGAATTTGGTAGTAACATTAGTTTGACCCATCAAAATGTATAGGTCATTATACAACCAAAACAAACTGAACCCAAGTTAAAACCAGAGGAAAGTAAAGCTATTGTGGTTGTACCAGATCAAAAGGTTAATAATGACTATAATGCCACTTATCTTTTTGATATTCCCCCTGTGGATGCAAATGGCTTCAAACCTTCTTCTAGCAATGAGGATCCACAAGCAAAAACCCAAAGTAAGTTTTAGCTTGTGCCATGTGTATTACAAGTTGTACCTTAAAGGGTACTTTAGTCTTTTCACGAAACGGATTAAAAGATTTCATTGATGTAAATATTTCAGCGTTAGACAATGATGCGAAGAAATCAAGTAACAAAGTGAAGTCCGAATTTGAGGATCTTTTTGATGGATTAGATTGGGTTGCCCAAGAACCTTGTACACAAGTAAAAAACGACACCATGAAACTTTTTGAAAAGGTATGCTTTTTTTTTTTAAAGATATGACAATGACAATGGGCGTTTATGTCTTTTTGCACAGATGAGAGTTTGAGAGCTAGTCTATGTCAGGTGTCCCATCTTTTTTGGGTTAGACAAGAAATCGCAATTTCTGTCTCCGACTCCATATCAGTGTATGCCCAATGCAGTACAACCTGTTCTGTTCTATTCTATTCTATTCTGACAACAACTGTTTATTGTTTAAATTTTTGACTAGTCAACTACAATGCAACCGCTTCCTGTCCCGCAACAACAATATAAGGTCATGGGTAATCATCAAAATGGCACCAACGGATTCCACCGTCTTCCAAATCAGGTTCAATAATAATAAAATATGATAATTACGATTTTATTCAAATTATCAAAGTTAAAATCAGTTTGTTTGACCATGTTAGCAAATCGGAAACAGCAAATCTTCACAACCTATCGGGAATCCCGGTTTTTACACCACATCCAGGTACTCATCATGAATCTACTATAACCTGTACAACCTGTTCAGTCATGTCATGTTGTTCTGTTATGACATGTCTTATAAGGAATTATCTTTTTTGGGTGGGACAAAAAATAATAACTTTTGTCTCATTGATATCAGTTACAGACTCAGTCTAATGCATGTCAAACGCAGTACAACATGTTAAAACATTTGTTTATGTTTTTTTTTTTTTGGTTTGCAGTATGTATGGTGGAAGTCGAGTTGTCCCGAGTACAAAAACTTTAGGAAGAAGTAGACCGTCCACGACATCCGCGGGAAAGCTAAGCCTTCCGACTCAATTAGGAGGTGATTACGACTTCTCGTCGTTAACACAAGGGATGTTTGGCAAACGATGAGCATATTTTTATTTTTTATCATGGGGTTTTAAAGGAAAATAAGCCATTAATTATATAGAAATAGAAATTATAGTAAATTCAATTATTCCTTTTAAGTTGTATATTCGAAACAAGTTTACTTATTGATTTTCATTTGGATTTGTGATTGATTTGTTTTGATATACGAGGAATAATGTAACGAAAAATAGAATTCCTTTCATTAAAGGAAGAAAAGAAAATAGATTGTATTTAGTTTGGTTTTTCCGCCATTCAACTTTTAAAGCATTGTCATTTATATCAAACAAAATTGTCAAAATGGAAGGCGAAAACTCTCTCATTTGAGGATAGGTTGACTCTTGTGCAGTAGGTTTTAGGTAATCTTCAAACTTATTACCTCTCATTATTTGTGGCCCAGAAGGGGTTATCGAAACTTTGGAGAGAACTCGCAGACGATTCCTTTGGGGCAGTTCAGACGACAAGAGGGCAATCCACTGGATATCATGGGAAAAGATAACTGCACCTAAAGACTCGGGGGGGGGGGGGGGGGGATACAATCAAATCCTTAAATATCTCTCTAATAACAAAATGATGGTGTCGATTAAGATCGAGCCAGGTCTTCTTTGGGCTAAAGTCGGGGTGCACAACCTTCGGTCGAAACCTGGGGATTGCTACTCAAAAAATTCCCTTCCTGGAGTGTGGAACAATATTGCAGGAATCAATAAGGACCTCAGGAAAAAAAGGAATCCCAATCTCATCGATCCTTTCAAGGCATGTATCTCAAAACGGTGACAATTGGAGATGTGGGCTGACTCCCGATGGGCCCTTCATGGTTAAAGCTCTTAGAATGAAATGAGACTTTTCCCCTCCCACAATTAGTGAAAGTTTCTGCTGGTTAAAGAGCATCCCCTAAAAGTTACATGCTTTATATGGAGAGCAAAACAAGGTCGAATTCCTACAATGGCGGAGCTCTCAAAAAGAGGGGTATATGCAGAATCTTTAACTTGTCTTGCATGGACAATGTTTTAGTTAAATGTGATTTCGCTAAAAAGGTCCTGGAATGGGTTTTTTAAGTGGTGCAATGTTCCCATGGAATATTTTCAATTGGTTATCAATGTGCTTGATTATGCAGCAAAATGGGGAACTTGTCCAAAACGGAGGAAGTTATTACTAGCAATCTGCTACAACACATTATGGTGTATTTGGAAAGCAAGGAATGACATAATCTTTAAAAAGATCCGGCCATCACCCACTAAAATTGTAGACATCATCAAATCGTTGGCGTTCTTGTGGGTTAAAAACGGGAGTAACGGAGGAGATCTACATTGGACAGTCCGGTCCCATTGCCCTTTTATTGACATGTAATCTTTGGTTTTCCTTTTTTGTTTTCTCCCATTTTTCGTTTTATCTTTTCTTTGTTTCGTTTCTCCTTTCTAGCTCCTTGCTAGTGGGGTTTACCTCCTGTTTTATTTTTATTATTAATATATTGGTCGGTTTCAAAAAAATCAATGTTTTAAAAATCGGTTTTTTAGTTTAACCGGTATGGTGACTGGTTTCCGGTTCAACCGCCGAGTAAACCGGTTTCTATAATTCTCATATTTTTTCATATTCCCCCCCCACCCCCCCCCCCACACACACACACCTATATATTATATATATATATATATATATATATATATATATATATAATATATATATATATATATATATATCAAGAATCTGATGTCCACAAGTTCAAATATTAAAAATACACATGAAAACAAGTTGTAGATCAATCTAAATATATTAAAATAACACATAACTATAAGTTTTATATCAATCCACATGCATTAAAAAGAAAATAAAGTCCTAGATGAATATAAACACATCAAAAAATTTCATAACATTTATCATATGCCTTTATTCAGGAAAATCTTAATAGATGTGAAAAAACCACCAAAATTTATTATGCAAAATGTTTCAATTCAATGTGTTTTTATTCAATTTAACTGGTTTAATTTAATTGATTCAATTATATTTTTATAAAAATCGGCCGGTTCATTCCGGTTCAAAAATAGAAATAAAACCACAAATAGTTGAACCGCTCCCTTCCCCGGTTTCCGGTCCAAACCGGTTTTTAAAACATTGGTTATTATGTCATTCATTATAGTTTTAAATTTAAAAATTCTTAAATGAAATAACATCAACCTTTTACACTCTGCGTATCATACATACTTATAAAGCTAACATTTTTCCTTGAACCTCATGCATTTGAAACCTCCATAAAAATTTGCAAAACCTCATGCATTTGAAACCTCATATTTTAATGAATACCACTCAAAAGTCTCTTAATAATGGTTAACAATTCAAAGGTTTTATAACTTATATATATATTTATAAACAATTAATGGATACTCTACTATAAAAGGTCAATCTTTTTGAGTAGACACACAAATACAAATCACATACAAAATTCACAAAGAAAACAAGTCTAAAGTTTTTTGTGTTGGTTTGAGGGCTCTGAACAATTTTTTGAGCCATGTTACTATGTTAAAGTTTTTAATTTGTAAGTTTGTTATATACTAATTCTTTTTTGTATTTTCTTGATTTAGTATCTTTTAAGAAAATCATTGTATGTTGTGGGTTGAAATTTTAATGTAAATTAGATTAGATTCATGTTATCGATCATATGTTATGGAAGGTGATATATATAATATTCAATTAACTATTGTATACATGTTTGTATTTTCATATTCCTTCAAAAAAATAATTAATAAAAATCATGGATATGTCATATTATCTATATTATCCATGTAAGCCTTTTTTAAAATGCAAATTGTCATCTTATCACTTTATATTTGAGTATATGTTTAACATTTTAATTATATAATAATGTTTTAATGTTTCTTTCATTATTAATATAACAAGTGGTTTTAAAATTAATAAGCAATAATATAAATAATAAAATCAAATTACATGGATATGTTATATTATCCATGCAAGTCTCTTTTAAATGCAAATTGTCTATCTTATCACTTTATTATTAGTGTATGTTTCACATTTTAATATAATATTAATTGTTCTTAAAAGTCTTCTTTAATTATATTAATAATAAGTGGTTTAAAATTAATGAATAACAATTTTAAATGATAATAACATCAAATTATAAATTACATTTAGCTATAAAATAAATTCTATTTTAAATGAACATCATTATTGAAATTAGAAAATGATCGCATAAGTAAAAATATAATTAATCAATAAAATTGTAAAAATAATACTAAATAGATAATTATATTTAATTCCATTAATGAGGAATGTGGGTTGATTTCAATGAATATTATTGTTCAAAATAATTGACATTATATATATATATATATATATATATATATATATATATTAGTGTAAAAATATTATCTCAAAGTTAATGTCAATTACATAACCATTTTAAACATATATTTTTCAATATTTTAACAATATATTTTTAATCTTCGCTGCGCAACGCGCGGAAATTCGTCTAGTCTTTATATACTTATAAAGGAAGCATTTTTCCTTTCACCACATTCATTTGAAACTCCCAAGCATTTTTCCTTTCACTACATTCATTTGAAACTCCCATGACTTTTTAATTTCTTTCTAATAATGATTATAAGTTGGTTAATAAGGTTAAATAAATATCAAACCTAAAGTGTAATCATATATAAACTAAATTTCAATATTAAAAGAATGTCTTTACTTCTACTTATAAAGTTATGTTTTTTTAACTTTATGAAACCAATCCAAGTCCTTCATCTTTCTATAAAAAAAGCATTTTTATCTTTCACCACATTCATTTGAAGCTCCCATGACTTTTCAATTTAATTACAATAATATTATAAATAACTTAAATAATGTTTTATAAACAAGAAATGGTGTTTTATTACAATGTCTTCATCCCACATCGATGGTGAGAGTAAACAAGAGAATGTTTCCTCTTCTATAAATAGGAAAGGTTGTGAAATGTTTCAAAGGGACCAAACCATGAGAACTTCTTCATGCCTACCTTTGTAGGATTTTAAGAGTATTATTTGGTGAGATTGTCTATATTGGCAAGTGTCCAGTTAAGTTTTAGAATTCCAAAAATGGTCTTGAACCGGATTTTTTCAGGTTCAAACTGTATTTTAGTAGAAAAAAAATTATATAGTTGGGTATATTGAGTTGAATCGCAGTTGGATCAATTTGGACCGATAAATGAATCTTTTTCCTTTCACCACATACATTTGAAACTCTCATGATTTTTCAAATTATTTCAAATAATATTATAAATATGTTACATAATGTTATATAAATATAAAAAAACATCTGCCTAAACCTAAAATTATAATTGATTGAAAATCACTTTGATTCAAAAGCACGAAATATATACAAACCAGGTTTCACTAGAAAAAAATTATGTAGTTTGGTATATTGATTTAAATCGGTCCGAGTTTGATCAATTTGGACCGATAAATGAAGCATTTTACTTTCACCACATACATTTGAAACTCTCATAATTTTTCAAATTGTTTCCAATGATATTATAAATAAGTTACATAATGTTATATAAATATAAAAAAAGTATCTACCTAAACATAAAATTATAATTGTTTGAAAAATCGATTTGATCAAAAGCACAAAATATATACTCAGATTATATTTTATAAATGGATTATTTTTATAATAAACTTTTGAATCATGAAAATACATATAAACAAACTCTCTATATTAAGTAGCTAACTGAATTTATGATTTTAGAATTTAGCAAAAAGTTATTCAATAAAAACTTACTTTTTTGGATTATAGAAAAATAGAACTATTGAACAATAAAGAAAGGGTAAACAAGAGAAATGATGTTTTACTAAATAAGTTAAATGATGTTTTATAAACAAGAAAACGTGTTTTATTACAATATCTTCGTCCCACATCGATGGTGAGAGTAAACAAGAGAACGTTTCATCTTCTATAAATAGTAAAGGTTCTGAAATGTTTCAAACGGACCAAACCATTAGAACTTCTTTATGCCTACCTTTTTAGGATGTTGAGGGTATTTTTTGGTGAGATTGTCTTTATTGGAAACTGTCCAGTTAAGTTTTAGAATTCTGAAAATGGT